TAACTTAGAAAACACGGCTAACTACTGCCGAAATTAATATAACAATAAACGCCGAAAATCAAACGCGCGTAAAATACGTGACCACGTAACAAATTCAATTCAAGATAGTGAACAATATTTAAGTATTTAACTGACCTGTATATAAAAGTTAATCTAGTTAGCACCCAGATAAATACCTAATTAAATAAACGACTAAAACCTACGCTCACTGAACCTCCCCGGTTCCCAAAAACCACGCTCTGCTACCAAAATGTTTTCGCTGCGACAGAGCTTACGATAGAGGGCAGTTTTCTGCCGCAACTTGCGCAGATGATAGACAAAGGATCGGTGACCAACTTATAAATATATACGAAATACTCAAAATTTAAGAATGACAATATCACTGCAACGCCTAGCGTACAGTGTACATATATATTACAAATAAATTATATATATGAAAAGGTTCGTATTGACTAATAATTAATAATATGCGGGCGCCCAGAGCATTTACATATAAGATAATATAGTATAACAAATTAATAAACAATAATTACACCTATAATAATGTGCGCTAATAAAATTTTATAGGCCTTTAAGTACAAGGACCTTCAATGCCACAGGTATAAAAGAAAATATATAATAATACGTAATCGTATACTAATAATAACAGTTGGGCATTAAGGTCATAGTATACAAATAATAATTTTACTGGCCACTGAACACGAGGGGACAAATATGAGTAGAATAACAATGTAGGACCTGATGGCGACAGCACTGGACCAACTGGCTCCTTGACACCGATGACGACTGTAGCTGATGCAAACAAGCTCTTCGTTGACGAGTTAAAAAAAAAAAAATGACACCTCGTGATCACATGCGGTTTTGTTGGTTGCGACACGCAAAAATAACGGTTGACGAACACGTTGTTCTCAGGTCAACCGTTGTAAAAAGACAGACACACAGACGTCGAGCTGGCTAGCGATTCGGCCATGGGCTTACGAACTGTCACCAGACAGCGGAGGCGGAGCTTGCTGGACACAGCTTTATCTTGTAGCCGGACACCTTATCTTTTGCCACACCTGTGGTGTCCCGAGGAGATATATATATAATTTGGCCAAAAGAAAAACCGTTCCGCGATCGAACAATTAGCGTATTAATATTCAAGACGAATTTTTTTTAATTTAAATTAGTTTAACTATATAAGTAAAAAAAGGTAGCCAAGTGGGTGTCGCTCTGCTTTACAGTAGGTTACAAGTGAGTCACTACATACCTACTGGATTGTGTTAAATTTGAATTCAGTGATATAATATTGTATAAGAAAAACGAATCCTAACGAAGATGAAGAGTCAGCCTATGATATATTATAATAATATATATTTGTAACTAGAAAATAATTTAAAATTTGACAATTTTTTTTTCAAAATTCAAACATAAAAAACTTATAAAAAAAACTTCTGCACGTTGATTTTTAATATTTTTTAACTGCTATTGTAACAATAATATGTGCAGGAACCTTGAATTAAATTTTCATGCTTCTTGACCCAACAAATTTATAATTACTAATTTATTAACAACTATAGAAAAAAAATTGAAAATGTCCGTAAATGGACAGAAAAAGTGAAAATGTTTTGAAAATAGTATCAAGCACGGTATATTATACTATAATATACCGTGGTATCAAGTATAGGAATTGATACAATAGATATATAGAATAAATTATTAAAAGTATCTACAGTTATTCGTTTTTTTAATTACAAAATAAGAAAATCGCTACATGATAAATCGAGTGAATATCCAATGTTGTAAAAATCTGAATTTCAAACGCTCATAAAAATTAAATTTGTATTTCCGGTAGATATTTTTTTCATAAAACTAGACAACGTTATGAAGAATCTTGTACTAAATTTTTAAATTTTAGATTTTAGATTTAAAAAGAAAAATTGTTATGAATTTCTAACAAAATAATTTGCACATTTTCTTTATTTTTACGTATTTTCTATTCTGTGATAATAAACAGAAATTTTGTTATTTTCTATCAAACACAATTTGCTAATGCCTAATACATAAAACAATAATTTATATATTATTTACAAATATATTTTACCAATATTACGTATCATGTAATTTATTAATTTATATGGTATTCGAAGATGTACTCGCGTCTTTTAGTCTAAACTATCTATGTCCTATACTTATTCATAGATAGCTAGATGTATATAGTATTCTTATCATGAATTTTTTTTGTAATACGATTTCAATATTTTTATATCAAAAGATATTTTGATAATATTAAATGATATATTATGTGTTCTGTACATTTGTAAGTACCTACATAATTACATTTTAATTTATATATAGTATATGAACAATAAAAATGTTTAGTTTATACATATTGTTTTTTTTACATATAGGTACTGCATTGCAATAATATAAATAATTATATTATTACAGTAGGTATTTATTTAATAAATATTATGTACAACAATCAACTTCATATTTTATGTAGGTATTATGTTTAAAATTAAAATAAGTAAATACATCAATATTTACTAATCAGAACTATTTAAAATGTTATTAATAAATAAAAATTAAATTATAGAACAAAAATTGCTTCATGTCATTTATAAGTTACAACGTAAAATACGTAACACTTTTACTAAAAAATCTATTTAATCATAATGAAATTATTATTTTACATGTATTTTAAAAAGTAATTGGGTTAGAAATATAAATCGAGTTTTGGTGTATAATAATTTGTATGCTTAATTTATTGGTTAATATTTTTAAGCAATCAGGAGCTTTAATTAAAAAATAGGTTTGCGACTTGCGAGCTAGTAGCGAGTTAGCGCACCGTATAGAATTCACGGGCGACAATTTACGTAACGGCCTGTAATGACGTTTGACGCGAAACGTTCTAAACGACCGTCTGTGAAATAATAATGTACCTCTCCTGCAATAACAACACGTGGACCCCGTCGCGTACACGATGGGCGTGGTTACGGCCTACCGCGACGGCGGCGATATGAAATTCAACGCCATCTCTTGAGCGTTGTATACGTTTCACTTTTACTGTGACGCCCTCTTAATAAATTATTGTATTATTCATTTATAATTTTTCGTTATGAATTTTAAAACTTTTTCTTTAGTCGTAGTTTTATAGTAGAATTATAATTCATAAATATAGATTATAATGTTTATAAAACTATATATGTATTGTTGAATAACATGAATGGCATTAAGTAGGTACTTGAATATGTAAATAATAGTCTATTAATGACGAAGAGCTCAAAACGCAAATGTATCCACTATCCATAAAGCCGGGTTTACATTGGTAGAGTATTTGGTATAGTACGACGGTAGAGTGAGTACTCTACCGTTTCTAGCATAATGTAAACACTCAGGAATAGTATAAGTAGAGTACTAAAGATAGTAATCGGTATAGTAGAGTAGTTAACCACTGTGGTAAAGTACACTCTACTTGCTTTTACCCCCACCACCGTTTTTACTGTACTCTACCACCACTCTACTGGTGTAAACAGTCTAGTTTTGGTATAGTAAAGTAAAATATTGTTGATATCGCCTGAATCGGCACGTGTATTCATATTTATTTTTAAACTTTGTATACATTTTTAATTTTGTTTAATGTTTTTAAACCTTATAATATAATATAACTATTCTACATTTCTGATCGTATTGTAGTAAATTGTTTTATTTCATTATAAAAGTGGTTTTAATAATTTTTAAAAATGAAGTGGTCTGAAAGTGACACGATAGCTCTGGTGGAATTGTATGAAAAGCATGAGTGTATATGGAATATTGATTCTAAAGATTATAGAAATAAATTAATGAGAGACGCTGCCTACGAATATATCGTCAAGACACTTAAAAAAGATAATTTTGGCGTGACTGAACTAAACCAAAAAATAAAAAACTTAAGGTGTACTTACAACCAAGAACTATTAAAAATAAAAAAATCACAGAAGTCTGGTAGTGGTGTAGATGATCTATATGTTCCAAATATAAAATGGTTCAAATTGATGGATTCATTCATGAAAAATGTCAAGTCTGTGAAAATTGGTTGTACACAGGACAATGCAGAAAGTGGAGGTAAGTAATATTTATTTTATTGATATTACTATTTACTAAACTGATTTTCCTCTTTAATTGTTCTTGTAACTTGAAGTACAGTCAATTTTTTACAAATTATGACTATTTTACCAAAATATGCTGTTAAAACAACTAGAGTTTTAAAGTTTTCATTGAATTAAAAAAGTATAAATATTTAGACATATTATATTTAGATATATTATAAATTTATAATATACCTAACAGTATTTAGTTATAGTTTTAAGAAGATGAATGTTAAAATATTGGAAATATTAAAATTGTTAGAAATGCTACCGTCAATCAGGCCAACTTGGGGCAGCTTTGAAATTAATATTTCTAAGATAACAACAGAATACTTGTCTCACATTAATTAATTGAGAAGAGACGGTTATGGAGGTAAAATTAAAAGATAATATTTTTGCCCCGAGTTGGCCCGGTTGACGGTAGATATTTTTTCAGATGGTATAGTACATATAATTGAAAATTAAATTAACTAAACAGATACAACTAGTAAAAACAGTTTGTTATTTATTAATTAATTAGTTTAATCAGTAGCGTAGCTGGAGCTCAATCAAGGGAGGGGCTATTTGCCTATTTAAAAATTGTAATACACCACAAAATATTGTGAGGAATTCGAAATTTTCCATTTATTATTTTTAACCGTACATTAATGTATTTTTTAACTAATTATTGCTTAATATTTATTTGATGTTATAAAAAAAACCGTAGGATATACATATTATACTTAAATCCTAAAGTCATGTAATACTCGTATCCCGGCTAATGCAGCTGAGTCCTTGATTTGGTTATAATAAAACAAAATTAAGAAATACATATAGGTACCTTTATATATATGGCTATATAAATATATAAATTGTACAACAAATCAGAAAAAAAAATATTTACAACAATTTTCAAAGTAATATAGATCTATTTTTTACTTTTGAAAACTGATCTATGATTGTTTCAACATCCACTTCAATATCTCTATGGATATTTAATAAAGCCAAACCAGTTAGTCGTTTCTCACCCATCTTTGCTCTTAACCAAGTTTTTAATCTAAAACAAAGCATCATGCAACAGCATAAAAGCAGAGGTAAAAGCAAAATCAAATGTAAGCAATTTATTTATTTATAACATATTATATAAATAAATATGCATAATTATTAATTATAAGTAGTGAATATTTTATGAATAATAAGTAATAAGAATAACTAACTACTAAATAAATGTTTAATAACCATCTTAGTAAATAATATAGTCTTAACTGAAGAATATTGAAGCAGTAGTTTATAGTTTGAATTAAAGTCTATTAATAATAAACATTAGGGAAATTTAATAAAAAAAAAAATAGCTTAAATATTTTACCTGCGCAAAGTGGAAAAGCTGCGTTCGGCAGTTGCTACACTAATTGGCAAAGAAGCAAGAATGTGAAGCAAAGAACTAATATTAGGGTAAATCATATCAGAACACTCATCAATTACTTCTAAGATATTTGATGGTAGACAATTACCTAAAATAATATAAAAATAAAAAATAAAAGATAAATAGAATAATTTCTTAAAATGAATCACCTTTGTAATGGATCCATTTGGTATACCACAATTCAATTTCTGACTCAAACAGCACATCTGTGGTATCCTTAAAAAATGAATATTTATTTTTTATTTCATTAAGTATTTCTTTCCTTTCGTTTTTTGTCAATTTTACTAAATGCTTAGGAACTAATTTGGTAATAGCTTTAAGTGTCTGGTTTTCATGATTCCCAAATCTTCTACACATGTCACTTATAATACCGTCTAATAATGGAATGAAAATAGTAATTTTGTAAAACTCTTCACAACTATTTACATTGGGTGGATTTGATCTATTGTTCTGTTTACCAGCAATCCTTGGTATTTTTATATCAAAATCTAGTTCTTCCATCAGGTCTTTGCATTCATTAAAAATATTTTGAAAGTTAGTATCACAATCGGAACGGTTGTTCTTGAGAATTGAAATTATATTTTCAATGATTTCAGAAGAAGTTAATATATCTTGGTATTTTCCTTGTAGTGTCTTACTTGCGTGATACGTTACAGCTAATACAGATGATAATGAGTAGAGAGAAATTATAAATTCACAGTTCGAAATTGAAAATAAAAGGGTTTTGGCTTTAGACGATGATACTATATCATCCCATTTTGATATAGATGTAAGGGCATTAATAATCTCAGGTAATGACATTTTAAAATGCAACACACTATCATGCCTTTCTACCCACCTGGTCTGACAAATACTTACAAATTGTTTTTTGAGCATTTTTTTTAATATGAAATTGCGTTTTGCTGATGCGTTAAAAAAGGATATAACTTGTTCCATGATACCAATACAGTTACGAATTGATTGAACTGTTGATGACTTTGAAATTGATAGATTCAGAGCATGATTATTGCAAGGACAATGAATTGCATTTTTTGTTGACTGCTGGATACGCTGAACAGCCCCAACTATAGTAGAAACCATCACTGCACAGCCATCAGTAGCAATACCTACACAATTATCAAATTTTAAGCCAAGTTTGGACATCATTTGTATAACTATATCACCAAGAAATTCTCCAGTCAATTTTGGTTCTATCTGGTTGTTTGAATCTACTCCATCGCTGCCTTCATTTTCATTGTCCATAGATGAATGACAATCAATAAATGTAACAAATCTTTCAAACACTTTTCCTGAATAAATATATCGGATACTTAAACTCATTTGAGAGATTGTTGAGACATCAGTTGTTTCATCGAATATAATACTGTAGTACTTAGCCTGTTCAATATCTTTAATGATTTTACATACAATTTCTTTTCTGATACACTCTATTAATTCATTTTGAATAGTAGGACTTATAAAAGTTGCTTTTGCATTATTATTTTTTAAATGACTTTCAAGAGTTTTGTCACCTGATAAAATTCTAAACTTTAAAATTTCTCTGAAGTTGCCTTCATTAATAACAGTTTCTGATGAATGAGGTTCAGAAGAAAGTATACCATAATCTTTGTGTCCTCTTAAAGCAATATTTTGGCGTCCTAAGAAAATGATACTTTCAATTATTGGTACTAAGCGCTCTCTATTTTCTTTAATTTGTTTCATACGTTCAGTATCAATTATGTTAATCACAACTTTATTTGGGTTTGAAAAAGTTTTTTGAAAATCAAAAGAAAATTGAACACAATTTTTATGATAGTCGTTATTTTGATGTGTTTCTAATAGCCCATCTTTTCCTAATAATTTGGCAAACTGGTTTAGCGGCTCAGTAATAAGTCGTTTTAATTTTTCTGTACCTCTTCGACCGCCATACTCAGATGTTAGGAAAAGTATACAGTACTTACAAAATAGTCCATTTTTTGATCTTGAATATTCTAGCCATGTAAATTGTTCAAAGTGATTTTTCCTTAAATAACGCTTAAGTTTCTTACTGTTTTTGTTATGAATGGAAAATGGGTAAATGAAATGTTCATCTGGTACATTTGAACGTTTTAACAAGGCAGCTTTAGTATGGTCATCGATTTTTAAACCAAACAAATTTCCAATATCTAATTCTTCTGAAACTTAAAAAGGCGCAGTTATCAAAATAATAATATAATAAAATTCAAATCTGAAATAGGTAGGTACCTACTAAAATATAAAAATAAAAATTATAAGTAGAATGGAAAAAAGTATGTAAACATCTTTAAGAGACTACTTACCATTAATAGAATGTTGATTATCATCAATTTGTTTTTGTTCATCATTTTCTAATGTTTTATTTTTTTTAGTAGGACATGTAACTAAAATATTTTCTTCAGATTTATTAGTTTTAAAATAATCATTTATTCTCTTCATAATGAAACAATCAGTTTATAATAAAATAATCTTAATTGTAGACTATTTTATTTATAAAAAGATACAGAATAGAGAGAAAATAAATAATTAATTAATAAACAAAACAGTTGCAAAAGCCACAGACAATTGGGGTGCAAAAACACTTAACACTTCAGAATTCAGTACTTCACGTCTTTTTGGTTATCATTTCGGCTACCTCCACAATAATTTTGATAATATAACAAACGTAGATTGTATTCCGTGGTATAGTGTGATATCAGTGTATTACTACAACCGTGGTATATTAATTTAGACAAGAATTGGCCGATATCATTATCAACACATTTTGGTAACGTTGATAAAAATTTAAAATACGAAATGAATATTAAATATCACTTGTGTAAATTCTATATTATTTTATTACCTATATACAGGATATAACCGTGATTAAAATATCACCAATAAAAATGCCAAGGGGGGGGCCATACACCCATGGCCCCCCCCTCAAATACGCCACTGAGTTTAATTACTTACAATGCATTTAGGTACAAATTTTTCAAAATATTATAACATATTTAATATAATTAAACTAATTAAATTAACTAAACAGATACTATTAGTCTAGACTTTATACATATTTATTAGTATATATGCCTATATTGCCAAGGGTACAGCTCCTTCATTTACAAAATAATTTTTCAAATTATCGCGTATTTTGTTGGCCAAGTCTGATGCTCTTCTTTCCCTATGATTTTCCAAATTTCGAAGCTCAATTATTTCCGTTCTCCAGCGACCTTCTCTCATTAAACCACTCGATATATCTTCTTCATCAATAGAGCCAGGTGGTAGGTATGTAGAGGAAGATTTTCGTAGAAAGTTGTGAAGAGCGCACGCAGCTAGTACAAGTTTGTTCACCGTTTTTAAATTGCAATATATTTTTTTATCAAATACTCGAAATCTGCTAACCAAAATGCCAAAAGCATTTTCTACAATACGTCTTGCTCTGCTTAAGCGATAATTAAAAATTTTTTGAGGTTCAGTTAGAGCTGTTCTGTAACATTTATATCGTTTCATCATATAATATCGCAACGGAAATGCATCATCGGCTACAACGCAATATCCTAATGGAAGCAGATCTTTTAGCAAAAGTTGTCCAAGTTCACAATTTTGGAGAATACCACCGTCCGATGCTGACCCCTTGCTGCCGATTGATACATAAGTAAAACAATAGTTATGGTCAACCAGTGTCATCAACACTACACTGTTAGTCCCCTTATAGTTGTAATATTCACTTCCACAGTTAGGAGGTGCCATTATCAACACATGTTTGCCGTCAATTGCTCCTCAGCATTTAGGAAAATTCCATGTATCTTCAAAGCCTTTCGCAATGCTTGTCCATTCTTCATAAGTTTTTGGCATTTAAATATTTAATTATTATATTATTATTTGAATAACTACCATACAATGTAATACAACTGTGTACATTTATTTATTTTATTTATTTTTGTTTTTTTAATTAACCAAGGTAACGAAGAAGGGCTGTTGGAAAATGTAACAGGTGTATTCACAGAAATGTCTACAACGCCGATGACAACTGTAGTTGCTGGAAACCCACAAGTGCCTACAACACTAACTGCAAAAACTCCAGTAGTTACAAAAACATCAGCTAAAAAAAGGAAGCTTCATCATTTTACAACAGCAATTACAGAATTGCGTAATATTCAAAATGATTTAAATAAAATGGATTCCACTGAAATAAGTGATAATGATGCGTTTGGCCAGTACGTTATTGCATCACTTAATAAGTTGTCACCAAGGCAAGCTATTTTGGCTCAAAGTGATATACAGTCTCTTTTGACCAAGTATCGATTAGCAGAACAGTCTGGGTCAAACAGTTTTCATTCTACGTCACCACAATATTTTTATACAACTGATGAAGATACATCTACACAATACAATATAGCAACTGATCAAGATACATCTACCCAATACACTCTACTATCAGCCAACAAAGGCAACGAACATGATGAAGATAACAGGGACAATATCATTGCAAAAGCCTGGTCATTAATTTAAATTTAATTTTCCCCAAATAGGATTTTTTTTTTGTTTATCTAATTTTTCAGTCCATAATATTAAAATGTTTTGAACTTTAAAAAAATTAAAATCATTTTTATTGTAGTTGGTATTAGTTATAGTAGTTTTAACATTTAAACTAATATATTGTAAATGTTCTATATTTTGTTAATATATAATAAAATATATTGTACCTATGTACGAAATGATTTTAAAGAAAAATACCTACCTTAATATATTGTTCCAGGGCTTGATAAATGGCGTCACAAACTTCTGGTAAAAATTTAGATATTGCGGGAATTGACACTCTAAAGAAATGTTGTAGGGTTCGGTAACTATTACCAGTCGCTAAATAATTCAATGTTATTTGTAGCTTAATGCGCGCTGGTAGTGCATCTCGAAGAATAGTGTCCTGTTTTTGAATAGTTGGTGATACCAAATTCAATAATTGTTCAAAATTTTCAGTTGTCATTCTTAAACACAGCCTGTACTCTTCTGGATCCTCTAAAGCTAGTTCAGTAAGAAGATTTTCTGATGCGCCAAGAACTGTTCTTCTTTTTATCCACTCTCGAACCCAAATTCGTTTTTCTTCATTACTCTCATCAATGAATTCTAAAATATCGTTTACTAACGCAGTTGTAACTACTCGAAGGCATTTTTTTAATAATTTTCGACAATGACGTCGACGTACGATATTTGTTTATTTGATGTTTTGAAGTTGATCAAACCTAACCGTCACGGCGTGAGTTTACACTTCAACTGCACTCTCTCCTACTAAATACTAGCTTCGTGTAAACAGTTACTCTACTAAAACTAGTAGAGTAGAGTGAGTAGGCAAAATAGTAGGCTAGTGTACTCTACCAAATACTCTACCAATGTAAACCCGGCTTAAGGCTGGCAACACATGAGCGTTATTTTACGGCGCGTTTTGTTAAAATACATTAAAATAAATAAAGCACAATACACTGGTGTCGCACCGTAATATTATGGTGTGACATTTCGAAAACTGCCGCGTGCACCTTGACCATACCGTACGTTAAAAATAGCGCGCGATGGGTATTTTCTGTTAATAAGCATTAAATTAAATGAGCAGCTTCACATGGGCCATAATAATCGCGTGATAGTCGGACAGTTTGTTATTTATCGTTGATCATTTTAGTCGTACTCGTAGTAGTAGCCAAATTGCAATGTCAATCGATTTCATTATGTCCTCAACCGATGAAGAAACTCAGATTCTTGATGAAGATATTTTGAATGTTTATCTTTTGGTAGCATCAGTAGAGGATAGGCCGTTGCTATGGGATAAGACGTTAGATTCATACTCAGACCGAAACAAGAAAAGGAAATGCTGGAGAGACATATTTTGTATAATGAAACCGGGATTTGAAGAGCTGCATATAAAGGATCAAAAAATTATAGGTAAATTAAAAAAATTGTTTATTATGGTTTATTAGTTAAAGCATTGATTATAAATAGTATAGATGGCCTACTGCCATAGAAAATATGCTACGCATCAGTTGGCGGTAGCCGTTATACAGCGACAGGCACTAGACTAGTACTGGCGGTGAACGTTGTAAGCGCTTGTATTTGCAGGAGTGGGGGACCGACGGTACTAGACTACTTCCATGTGAATCGACTGCACTATATAGATCGACACAATTAATTATAAATAGATTGAAAAATACTGTTTACCATTATAATATTTTTGCATTTATTTCATTTTGCTCTCATACATTGTTCAGTAAAGACTAAAGACCTCTTCTATAGCTGTTTGTTGGAACTTATTGAATATGTCTGGTGATAAATGCGTGTTTTTCAATTGTAATTTAACGAGGAGATCCTCTAAAAATAGTTTTTATTCTTTCCCTAATTATGAGGAATTGGCTAAAAAATGGATTTCAAATTCAGGTAAATTATTTAAGAGGACGGCAGGACGCTACCCATGCATTTGTTGTCTCCGTCCTACACACGCACGGCATTGTAAATTTTCGTTCCCTAGTTTCAATAATGTGCTGTTAGTTTTTATATTAGAGTAACTTGACCTATTATCAAACTTTTAGATATGAACAATATGTGTGTTTAAGCGTTGGTGATTTTCCTATTTTTTCATTTTCAAGCAGGATATGGGTATATGAAATATCAAAAATTAAAAATGCTCATATCTCGATTGAAAATTAAAATATCGAATAAAAGCTAACGATTAAGTACAGATAATATAATAATCTAAAAATTGTATTATAAGTCAACTAACTCTAATATCAAAACTAACAGCACACTATTGAAATTAGCGAACGAAATTTTGCTATGTCATACGTGTATAAGACGGAGACAACAAATGCATGTGTACATCCTCATAATAATAAATATTACTGAATTACTTATTTGTATTTAATTAAACATAAGAAATATCAAGCTAGTGTCACTCAGTCCTAAACGGTTGAAAAAAAGGTACATTTGTGCTAATCACTTCGATGATAAAATGTACAACAAGCCAGTTGGTACAATTCGTCATACATTAATTAAAAATGCTGTTCCAATGAAATATTCTCTGGGTAGGTAACATTTGTTTTCTATCAATTAATTTGGAAGGGCCTTTTCTGAAAAGGATTCATGAATAAACCTAAAATTATTTCAAAGATTTCCTTTTTCATATAATGATATAAAAAGTAAACCTCAGTCATTTTATAATTATTATAAGCAAAACTTATGGACAATCTTGTATTCAATTGTCAATTCTTAGCTATAAATACAAAAAAATGTATACATTTTGAACTACAAAATAATTTGCACGAATTTCGACAAATTTTGTCAATATTTGATTTTCAAACGCTTATAAAAAAAATTGTGCTTATGTATTTGAATAATTTTTGAATCACTCATTAGATTAACTTAAGAAAAACTTTCTATTAAATTTTCACTCCGTGCGTCCTAATGTATATGTAAATAGTGATACTAAAAATAGGCGTATTCTTAGATCCGGATCTGTATCTAATTATGAAGTTATAATATTTCAATGATAAATAATAAAAACTTTCTTTTTACTTATCACTGCTTATCACTTGTTATAAACAAAATATAATTGTTGTTTAGATAATTTGACATCAGCAGAATCGCTTGAAGTTTAAACACCGAAACGTAAATACGATAGGCGTCACAGATCAAATAGCCCCGTTGATAAGCAGCTCCTATTCGATGAAAGTCCGGGTTTATCTATAACACCAACTACGAAATCTTTTGGATCATCATTGATTTTATTTCCTACTCCTCAAAAAAATCACCAAAAAAAAAAATTGTTAAACGGAATATGTTCTTAAAAACAAGTTATTAACTTTACAAAGGATGTTAAAAAGAAAACAATCTATAATAAGTGCTTTGAAAAAAAAAATTAATACAACTCAAAATATTTCAAAAAATTATGTACAAAATTTTTTTTCCAAAACAAAATTTTTATCAAAGAATTCTAAAGCTCTTACAAAGATGCAAGTTCTACATAAAAAACGTAAACCACGGTCTCCTCAAGAAAAAAAAAATCACCTTGTCACTGTATTATAAATCGCCAGCCACTTACAATTATATGCGTAAAAGTGGTATTATACTACCGGGGAAAACCACTGTAAAGCGTTGGTTGAACTCGATTAATTTTTCCACTGGTTTTTCATCAATGTACATAGAACAAATTAAACTTAAAACGTCAAATTTTACATACGACGAAAAAAAGTGCGTCATTTTATTAGATGAAGTTTCTATTATGAAATCTATTGAGTACAATAAAATATTAGATGAGATCGAAGGGTTCGAAGATTTAGGGCCTTTGGGTCGAACACCAACATTTGGATCACATGCTTTAGTGGTAATGCTACGCGGACTTTATAAAAAATGGAAATTTCCTTTTTGTTATTTTTTTGCGGGAAACGGAGTAAAAGGTGATGATTTGGTGATAATTATAAAGACATGTGTGGAAAAAGTTATAACTAAACTCAACCTAATACCGACTTCTATTGTTTGTGATCAAGGTACACAAAACCAACGAATGTTCAAATTACTTGGTGGAACAGAAGATAGGCCATTTACATAATAAATGATAATAAAATATTTTTGATTTATGATATGCCATATTTGGTAAAAAGTATAAGGAATAATCTGTTGTCTGGTGATTTTGAAATCAACAGTAGCATTATATCATTCAAAGACATAAGAAAAACTTACGAAACGGACATAAAAAACACTGCTCGAGTTAT